ATTCTTATAAACTTCAAACCTAACTTTTATAAAAACAGATTAATGTTTAAATTCTAGAATAAAAATGCTAAAGCTGATTTTTAATGGTACAATTAAAACAGAAACAACTGAATTATTAAGATGTTGCTCAAAAACACCCATCAGCTGTCTAACAAATTCTGAGACAATGTATCATTCTGGTTTGGAGAATACTAAATGTATTTTTCTAAATGTCCCAAAAAAGCTGGGCAGAGTTTTCTCCAAGGACTCTCCAGCTTTAGAATGTTAGTCTTGGAGATAGATGAAGCTGTCTGTGGGAAAGGAGAGCAGAAATATGCCACATTAAGAAGTTAAAGAGAATGGTCAATATGATATCTGATGAATATTAACAATGTAATATAGAAAAGATACATTCTATAAAGAAATTATAACCAAAACAATCATGTACATTAGCAATTTAAAATATTTTTCTCCGAAAATGAACTATTTGATTATTCTTGTCCTTTATCAAAATAATAACTATTTTCTCATAAAAGAGTACCAGTGTAGTTTTGCTTTATTATTTTTAAAGTTTTAATCTAGCTGGCTGTACAACACATTATAAAATTAGAGATAAATTATTTAAACCTTTATTAATATCACCCGAGTACAGTGTTAGTAAAAACTGAGAAATTTTTAACATTATAATGTCTTATAACTAATTATAAGTGACAGAACTGCTCTGCAATCAATCTTGATAAATATAAAAGAATACCTAGCCAACACAAAAACTGGGGAAGCGAAATCAGCATATAAGCTTTAAAAAATCAGTATGTTTTAAAGAGTTTTATATTAAATAGACTGTTTCATAATTTACTCACACTGTTGAAAATCAAAATTTTATTCCTAAAAGAGGGACAATATAAAGCTAGGACCTTCATGAACATTCAGGTATCAGAAGAAAGTTGCCAAGGACAGAACTGATTTAACAGCAAGAGATTGGTCTTATGCTTATTACCCAGCACCATTACTAACTGTTAAAACAACCAAAACTAAGCAAATCAAATGCATGGCTATTTATTTTTTGTTGCTTTTCACAGATGAACCTTTGATGTGGAGTTTATCCCCCAAAACATTTGATCTTCTTCCACGTTCAATGGCTGGACTTTGTTGAGGTTTCTCCCTGAGAAATATACATGTGAATATTAATATGATTTATAAAATGGCCAATGGTTTATAAATCAATAAACATGTTAAAAACCACTGTAACATAAGAAAAGTTTTATCTTAAAAGTTCCTTAATAGCTTTGAAAAACAAGGCTGGCCAGGTGTGGTGGCTTACGCCTGTAATCCCAGCACTTTTTGAGGTCGAGGTGGGCAGATCACGAGGTCAAGAGATCGAGACCATTCTGGCGAACATGGTGAAACCCCATCTGTACAAAAAATTAGCTGGGCGTGGTGATGTGCATCTATAGTCCCAGCTACTCAGGAGGCTGAAGCAGGAGGACTGCCTGACCCTGGGAGGTGGAGGTTGCAGTGAGTCGAGATTGTGCCACTGCACTCCAGCCTGGTGACAGAGCCAGACTGTCTCCCCCTCCAAAAAAACAAAAACAAACAAACAAACGGGAAAAACAAGGCAGACTATTTCAGTGAATTTAAAACAGCAACAGCTGTCTTCCTGAGATAGATTTAACTGTTTATAGTTTAACCACTGTTTAATGTTAACGGTATGGTAGCCACTAACCACATTTATATTTGAATTAAACTAAAGTAATTCAATACTTCAGTTTTACCAGCAACGGTTCAAATGTGAATCAACAGCCACATGTGGCTAGTAATTACTACACAGGACAGAATAGATATATAGCATTTTTGTCATTACCGAAGTCATTTCAGGAAATGCCATTGGACAGTGCTGGTTAAGAGAAAATGCCCCTGTTAGGGCCAGAAATTTATAGGTCATCCATAAAGAGTATGCCTTCTCTAAGTGGGACCTGGATTTCCTATTCAAACTTGGCACTGCTAGGTTTTTAATCAGTACATTTTTCAAATGAGAAAAATATCTGTAATTAATATAGGAGCAAGTTTTCAAGCAATTCAATAGAAAATACCAGGGCTCTAAATTCCTAAACAAGTGTTTTAGAAGAAAAGATCCTAGCATATGAAATTCTCCATAAGGCTTCTGATTTACTTGATACTCACTTGTCCACCGCTAGTTCTGTGAAGCCTTCTACCTTCTGCAGCAATTCTCCACTCTCTTATAGCTTAGAACAGATTTCTATTTAAGGTCTGGTGAGGCCTTTCTCTTTAGTGTAACTTCATAGGAAATAGATATTATTATTCACTTCCCCCCCCCGCAGAGAACCACATTAAACTGTAGCTCCAGGGTATGTACAAAATGTATTTTAAAATCTCTATAATATTTATTAATTCATTTTTGAGATAGAGTCTCGGTCTGTCACTCAGGCTGTAGTGCACCGGTGTGATTTTGGCTCACCACAACCTCCGCCTCCTGGGTTCAAGCGATTCTCTTGCCTTAGCCTCCCAAGTAGCTGGGATTATAGGTGTATGCTACCATACCTAGCTAATTCCTATTTTTAGTAGAGACGGGGTTTCACCATGTTGGCCAGGCTGGTGTCAAACTCCTGACCTCAAGTGATCCACCTGCCTCGGCCTCCCGAAGTGCTGGGATTACAGGCATGAGTCACCATGCCCAGCCAGAAATCTCTATAATCCTTAATATGTGGTTTCAGCAAATTTATTTTTCTCAGCTATACTAAAAGGGAATTGTAAAATAAGCTAATGTTCTTGCAAAATTCTTCCAAAACACCTAAAACACATCAAATATGGTATTGCATGTACTGTTACATATTGTACCCATGTCTGAAATTTCATTTACGATTACATGATAAATTGTGATTTGTTAAGGAAGTTGTTAAGTCTTCCAAATACAGCCCCTCTCCCCTTAACATATCTCTAGGTATCTTTACCAGTGTGAAATGTATGACTCTATAACCATATTAGAATCTGTTTTACAAGAATAACTACTCCGTAGCAAATCACTTTTCCTGAAGAGGATTTTGGTCTCTGTCTTCTGAAGCATAATTTACTAGTGAATTACTAACCATACAATCCTAAACTATTATTGATTTTTAGATATAAATTTAAATTTGTGCGGAATACTCAGTTTTAGTATAAAATTATAACATCTTTCACAAAAGATACTGTGGATACAACTTGGATGATCATCAAAACTTTCTGATAACAGAAATAAAATTATGTAACTTTACTTCAAATTCTTCTTTAAAAACCAAACTATTTTAGAAACAACTTTTACCTTCTTTTAAGTTCTTGGGAGCCAGGATTCTCATGACCAACACTTCTCATTCCAGTGTTTTCTAGATTGTGTCGTCCTGGTTTGTACTTCAAAACCTCACTTTGCCACTCCTCATCAAAAGCATGAGCATCATCTATGTTAAATAGAAAAATAATGGGAATAAGTATTAAGGTATCAACTGTCAGTAATTGCCTTGCTCCCACATATTTCAGTCTACTCTGGTGTTTTCATTAGTATAACCTCAATATAGAGGCAGGAAGCTGCTTCAAATATAAGGGTCTTTGATGAGAGTAGTATTTCTTTTCCTGTCTGTTGCTCTCCTATTCCTACTGATGACCTAGTTATTGATGATCTATTTTTTCACCTGCCTGGATATCATATTATTTTACCCAGTGGAACAGCTGACCCAATTATAATAACTAACAGTTTTTCTTCCTGGGTCATCTCACAATGAATATGTTCTTCCTGTATACTGTATACTTCTGTGACTAGCACTTCTATTCACCTAACCATCTTTCTATGTAACTTGACCTCACAAGTTTCTGTTGTCAATTTCCTAAGACAGGTTATTCAGCTAGAATGTCAATTCATGTTGTTATGAAGTAAGTAATCTAACTTCCATAGTAGCAACAATAGAGAATGATAGTACTTCTTCTTTAAGACTGCTTTAAAATATTATGTTCCTTCACTAAATTTTTCATTAAAATGTTGATTATTGTGAAATACTCAGTATATATATAAATGTGATAAAATTACAGAGGTTACAATGAAACACAGGTCACAATATCATGGCTTCTATCTTATTGCATAAGAATAATTTTATCAAACCCCGGCCGGGCGTGATGGCTCACGCCTGTAATCCCAGCACTTTGGGAGGCCGAGGCGTGCGGATCACAAGAGGAGATCGAGACCATCCTGGCTAACATGGCGAAACCTCGTCTCTACTAAAAATA